ATGGTGGCGTAGGAGATACCAGCCTTCACCCCTCCACATAAAATAACAATTAGATAGCTTTCCAGGAGCAAAAATAGCCCACACAGCTCAGAGTCAAATTAAAAACCTGCAGCAAAATAGTGGAGCAAGAAATGAAGACTAACTGCACAGAAAGGATTGCTGGGGAGACTGGCATAACTGAGACATCAGGAGACAGCTAGGAATGAAGAAGAAGGGTGGAGGTTATCAGTATCAACCTCGCAGCAGGTGCCACTGTGGTCCTTAGTGGCCAGCTTTGTGGAGGACCCTGGGAGCTTTTATAACTGCTAACCTCAACAGCTCCCACAATAGCTGTGGACTCGGCAGCTTTCAAAGCAAAAGACAATTTAGCATTCATCCACACAGACCCCAGGAGACTAGTCCACATGGGACATCCAGATTTTTTCCACTGAGGTAACCAACTGCCACAGCAACCAGGGACTCCCAGAGAGGGAAATGCTGCTACAGCACTCACCCCAAAGGAACCACTGTTGTACTGCCCCAGAACCAGGGCTGCCATCCTCCCCCCAACCCCTGCACCCAACATTGGAGCACCTAAATATATAAAGCAAATATTAACAGATATGAAGGGAGAGATAGACAGCAATACAAAATAATAGTGGACTTTAACCTCCCACTTTCAACAGTGGATAGATCACTCTGACAGAAAATTAATAAAGAAACATTAGACTTGACCTACACTTTAGAACAAATAGATCTAACAAATATATATAGAACATTCCATCCAACAGCAGCAGAATATACATTCTTATCAAGCACACATGAAGCATTCTCCAGGATAGATCACATGTTAGGACACAAAACAAGTCTTAACAAATTTAAGAAGACCATATCAAGCATCTTTTCTAACCACAATGTTATGAAACAAAATCAATAACAAGAGGAAAATTGGAAAATTCACAAATGTGGAAATTAACACACTCCTGAACAACTAATGGATCAAAACAGAAATGAAAAGAGAAATCAAAAAATATTTTAAAACAAATAAAAACAGAAACACAATATACCAAAACTTATGGGATACAGCCAAAGCAGTTCTAAGAGGGAAGTTTATAATGATAAATGTCTATATTAAGGAAAAAAAGAAACTTCACAAATAACCTAACATAACTCAAGGAACTAGAAAAATAAGAACTAAGCCAACGTTAGCAGAAGAAAGGACATAACAAAGATCAGAGGAGAAATAAAGGAAATAGAGACCAAAAAACAGTTTAAAAAAGACCAACAAAACTAAGAACAATTTTTGAAAAGATAGGGGCCAACCCGGTAGTGTAGTGGTTAAGTTCATGCACTCTGCTCTGGTGGCCCAGGGTTTGTGCGTTCAGATCCTGGACACAGACCTACATATTACTCTTCAAGCCATGCTGTGGTGGCATCCTACATACAAAATATAGGAAGACTGGCACAGATGTTAGCTCAGCAAAAATCTCTGAGTGAGACTGTAATGCTATGATAATCTTCTTCTGGCAGGAGCCAGTTCATTTTCCAGAAGCATCTGCAAACCAGGTTGAATTTTTTTTTTCCTAAATCAACTGATCATAGAGAATTCCCACTGTTGTCACAAGTGTGAATTGATAGAATGGCGGCAATATAGAAAGAGTAAGCAGCTGGTAATGTGAGTTACCTCCTTGGTTACATCATTTACTAGTGGCTTTAGGGCCAACTTTACTCCAATCTCCTATGTATCACTTCCAGTTGATGTCAGAGTGATTCTGGGTATATGCAGCTTTATAGCTTGTTAGATTAGATAAAACTAATAACGTTTGTGACATCATCCAAGACTTCAAGTCCTTAAATTCTCATGGTAAGGTGTTCAATTTCTACCAGGGCTCACAAGTCAAACCAGGAACAGTTTCTCAAAAGGAGAATAGTTAGTTATATACCATTGATCCAAAGCCTTAAGGGCCTACATTGTGATTCTCTTACTGGGGCTTGCCACAAGCTCCAAACAGCATCTTGATCTGTCATAAACTCTTTTTTTTTTTTTTAAATTGATGTACAATATCCTATTAGTTTCAGGTGTATATCATAGTGATTTGATATTTACACACATTATGAAATGATCACCACAATAAGTCTGGTTACCATTTGTCATCATACAAAGTTATTACAATCATATTGACTATATTCCCTATCCTTACATTACATTACATCTCCATGACTTATTTTATAACTGGAAGTTTGTACCTTTTAATCCCCTTCACCTATTTTACCCACACCCCCAACCCTTCCCCACTCTGGTAACCACCAGTTTGTTTCCTGAATCTATGAGCCTGAAATCATACAGTATTTGTCTTTCTTGATCTGATTTATTTTATTTAGCATAATATCCTCTAGGTCCATCCATGTTGAGTTCATTCTTTCTATGGCCAAGTAATAGTCCATTGTGTATATATATGTGTGTGTGTTTGTGTGTGTGTGTGTATACATATGTATACACCATATCTTCTTTATCTATTCATCTATCAATGGACACTTAGCTTGCTTCCATATCTTGGATATTGTAAATAATGGTGCAATGAACATAGTGGTTCATATATCTCTTTGAATTAGTGTTTTCATTTTCTTTGAATAAATACCCAGAAATACAATTGCTGGATTGTATGATAGTTCTATTTTTAATTTTGGGGGGAACCTTCATAAAGTTTTCCATAGTGGCTACACTAATTTACATTCCTACCAACAGTGTACAAGGGTTCGCTTTTCTCCACATCCTTGCCAACACTTATTTCTTGTCTTTTTTATATTACCCATTCTGACTGGTGTGAGGTAATATCTCATTGTGGTTTTGATTGGTGTTTCTCTGATGATTAAAGATATCGAGCATCTTTTTGTGTGCCTGTTGGCGATCTATATATCTTCTTTGGAAAGATGTTGATTCAAGTCCTCTGCCCATTTTTCAATCAAGTTGTTTGGGTTTTTTTTTTTTTTGATATTAAGTTGTGTAAGTTCTTTATATAGTTTGGATATTAACCCTTTATCAGATGTATCATTTGCAAATACCTTCTGTCATTCAATAGGTTGCCTTTTTGTTTTGTTGATGGTTTCCCTCGCTGTGCAAAAGGTTTCATTTTGATGCAATCCCATTTGCTTATTTTTGCTTTTGTTGCCCTTGACTGAGGAGACTGATCCAAAAAAATATTGCTAAGACTGATATCAAAGAGCTAACTGCCTATGTTTTATTCTAGGAGTTTTATGGCTTCAGGTCTTATATTCAAGTCTTTAATCCATTTCAAATTCTTATATTCAAGTCTTTAATCCATTTCAAATTTATTTTTGTACATAGTGTAAGATAGGGGTCCAGTTTCATTATTTTGCATGTAATTGTCCAGTTTTCACAACATCATTTATTGAAGAGACTGTCTTTTTCCTATTGTATATTCTTGCCACTTTTATCATAGATTAATTGCCCACATAGGCATAGGTTTATTTCTGGGCTATCTATCCTATTCCATTGATCTGTGTCTGTTTTTGTGCCAGTACCATACTGTTTTGATTATGATAGCTTTGTAGTATAGTTTGAAATCAGAGAATGCAATACCTCCAGCTTTCTTGTTGTTTCTCAAGGTTGCTTTGGCTATTCAGGGTCTTTGTGGTTCCACACAAACCTCAGAATTCTTTGTTCTAGTTCTATGAAGAATGCCATTGGTATTTTGATGGGGATTGCATTGAATGTGTAGATTCTTTGGGTAGTATGGGCATTTTACCAATATTAATTATTCCAGTCTATAAGCATAGTATATCTTTCCATTTAGTTGTGTCATCTTCAGTTTCTTTCATCAGTGTCTTACAGTTTTCAGAGTATAGGTCTTCCACCTCCTTTGTTAAATTTATTCCTAGGTATTTTATTTTTTTATGCCAGTGTATATAGGATTATTTTCTTAATTTCTCTTTCTGATAGCTCATTATTAGTCTATAGAAGAAATGCAACCAATTTCTGTAAATTAATTTTGTATCCTGCAACTTTTACTGAATTCATTTATTAGTTCTAAGATTTTTTTTTGGCAGAATCTTTAGGGTTTTCTATACATAGTATCATGACATCTGCAAATAGTGGCAGTTCTACTTTTTCCTTTCTTATTTTGGATGGCTTTTTGATTCAAGACAACTGCAATAAAGCAAATATTGCAATAAAATGAGTCACACAAATATTGCAACATCTGCTAAGTGCAATAAAGCAAAGTACAATAAAATGAGGTATGCCTATATCTCTTTTTCTTTTTCTTGCCTAATTGCTTATGATACTATGTTGAATAAAAGTGGTGAGAGTGGGCATGCCTGTCTTGTTCCTGGTCCTAAAGGAAAAGCTTTCAGTTTTTCACCAGTGAGTGTGATGTTAGCTGCACATTTATCACATATTGCCTTTATTATGTTGAGGTATGTTCCTTTTACATCCATTTCATTGAGTTTTTATCATAAATGGATGCTGAATTTTGTCAAATGCTTTTTCTGTATATATTGAGATAATATGATTTTTATCCTTTGTTTTGTTAATATGGTGTATAACATTGATTGATTTGTGGTGTTGAACCATCCTTGCATCCCTGCAATAAATCTCATTTGATCATGGTGTATGACTCTTTTAATGTATTGTTGAATTTCGTTTGCTGTTATTTTGTTGAGGACTTTTGCATCTATGTTCATCAGGGATTGCCATAGACTCTTAATCACTGGTCATGCAGCTAAACGACAATCACTCATGCTACAGCCTAGACCAGCTAGAAAGTTCTCTTGCTTTGAGGACCTTTCGAACTTGCTAATTTTCATTAAATAGACTGGAGTAGCACATCCAAATGTAGTATATGCTACTTATAAAATCCAAAGAAGCTCATCAAGTGCTTTATCTCTTTTTTAGTGATATGGGAAAAAGGTACAGCACTTTTCCTATTGCATTGGAGGGAATATCATGAGATGCTTGAGACCACCTGATCCCCAGAAATTTCAGTAAGGTCACAGTTACCTGGATTTTCATTGGAGTTTATTATCCAGTCTCTGAAATCTATTCACCCAGTTCTATGAGAATATCATCAAAGTAGTTGGCCAGTCTGATGTTATACAGCATTATGAGATGGTGAGATGGTAATGGTCTCTGCAGACTAGATTGTAACCCAGAGCTGGAGAGCTGAAAAAGATCAATGAAAATATATTTGTGTTCCTACAAGGTAAAAGCAAACACCTTCTGGAGTTCTCACTGCGATGGAGAGAAAAAGCAATTGTCAGATTAATAGCCATATTCTAACTGCTAGAGGCTGTGTTGATTTCCTTTATTAAAGAGACCATATCTGGAGTAGCAGCTGTAACTAGAGTCAGTACCTGATTACATTTACTGTAATCTACTGTTATCTCCAAGACTCATCTGTTTCTACCTAGGCAAGAGAGGATAGATAAATGTGAATAGACAGGAATCACTGCTACTGCGTCTTTCAAGTCTTTTATGGTAGCACTAATTCTGCAAATTCCCAAGGAATGCAGCTTTACTAATTTTGTAGGGAACTAGTTTCAGAAGCTTTCATCTGGCCCTTCCTGCCACAAATGCCCTCATTTCAAAGATTAGGAAGGTAACGTAGGTATTCCTACAATGTCATATATGTCCATAAAAGCACTGGACAAATAACAAGACAACGGGTTTATGAACCATCATGAGGCAGTCCCAGGCTGAGACTCCATTTAACACCTGACTTCCATAAGCAGCCATACTAATTGGTGGATCATAGTGACATTTCAAGTCCTGGAGATTCAAGTATGCTAAGAGTCAGTGTCCAGTAATTTCTGGGTATTTCCCTTTTCCCAATGCACAGGTATCATACTGATCACAACAAATTACCCCCAAATTCAGTGGTTTATACAATTATTTATTCTTGCTCACATCTGTGGGTCAGTTGCTGTAGTCTAGAATAAATAGATTGGAGCAGCATACACAAATGCCATATATTATCTTCAAAAATCTAAGGAGGTCCACTGGGTGTTGCCCTTCTTTTTTAATGGTAGGGGGTGAAAGACCGTGCCTGGGTGGCTCTGCTGATCTCAGCTAGCCTTATTCATTTATCTGCAGTGTAGCTGAGGGTACCTCTGCTCCATGCTGCAAGTTTGCTGGTGTGGGCCTGCTCCACTCTTTTTTTCCTCGGATCAGTGAAATAGCTGGGATGTGTTCTCAAGACAGTGACAGAGAAGCAAGAAGTCAGGCATACATGTGCAAATACTTGCCTAGGCTCAGAACTGGCGCAATGTTACTTTCATTACATGAAAATGGCCAAAGCAAGTCACACCACTGAGCCCAAAGTGAGGGGGCAGGAACTATACTCTGGTTATGGTAAGGACATGGCAAGGGTGTGGATGGAGATAGGGTGAAAAAAGTGGGACCAAGCATTAGCAAATGTCCATGAGTTGCTTATGGAAAGGAGAAAGATTTACAACATGTACCTGTGATGCACGTATCTTCCACATGTGACCCCTTCTTGGGCTTCTTAAGGACTGTGAAATGACTCAGGACTGGAGACGAGGTAAGAAGCTGCGATTTTCAGTACGTTTTAAGTTATATCAAGGCCACCATTTTGCACAATTCAAGGGTGCACAATTCTCATCACAGTGAGTCTTGTGCTCCAGAAGACACTGTCTACATAGACTATAACGTAAATGTTGCTAAGGGCTATGTACAGTGTGGCAACCCCGATTATTCCTGTGAGCTGCCTATCTATTTAAGTCCTACGGAACTTCATGGTCAATTTGCTATTACAAAAGATCCGTTCACTTTGAATACCATTGTAGTCTTACAGTTATGGCAATCACAGCTACCTTGCCTCTGTTGCTTATATGCTATAACTTGGTCTGTGCTACTGTGGGACAAAATCATTTCTATTAAAATCAGAGAACCTCTTTCAATAGCATTTTTTCCCCATTTTATTACTAGTCTTTAGATGACGGAAACTAGAGCGCTGACCTTTTTAAGACTGCTGATACTTCTGTCACTATTTTCTCAATATCTTGGTGGAGGGAGTATCCTCCGGGGCCTTCTGAGAGACAATGGAGAGTAGGAGAAAAAGTGAACATTATAAATCCACTGAAGTTTTCCTTTCTCCTTAAATATTTCTCTTCCTTCTTCTGCATTTTGCTAAGGAACTTCTGACGTCTCAAATCCACTGAACATTGTCCACCATTGAAAATACATTTCAGTCACTCAAGCAAACAAATGATTATAACCACTCCAAAATAATTTTAAACACATTGAATTGAGAATCCTCTGTCAACAAATTTGACTCTATCAAAAATCCTGTTCTTTGCTTCTCCATCTTTATACATATTCCCAGTTTTCTGGAGGTGAAAATTAGCAAAATCTTGTCCCTGTCATGTGACAGAGCTTCTCTTAATGGAGCATGACTCTAGTTATAGATCTGGACTGGATATAAGAAGTGGCAGAGGTGAGGCATGAGGTAGCTTCCTCAAGTGAGGTTGCTCCAGGGATTTCAGGCAGGGAAAGGACAGCCTCAACATAAAGGGAAGAGGGGCTGCTGGCAAGGGGGATTCAGTGAGTCAACGTTTTGTGGATCCCAGTTATCTGAATTAATCCAAATGCTCTTTGGGTCTCACTATATCCCCAGTAGTCCCTGATTTTTACATATAAGCTCCAGAAATCCTATAAAATCAGGTTCCATTGTAACTCTGAAACTTGGAAGATCAGACTCTATATCTTATTTTCAGATATGGTTGCTCTGGACCTACAGATGCAAGAGTTTATTTTAGGGCAATTACAGAAGCTCCCTGAATCTGTAATCATGCCTGGAGCCTGGAATTTTAAATCCTGGTTTGTCATTGTCTTTATTTAAGGTTTTTTGGTACAGTTAAAAGCAGATGGCCCACCCCACAAACCTTGTATTACTCATTCTCCCTTTTATAGTAATATGGTTTGCAAGTCTTGCCTTCAGTAGGCACTTCATTCCAGGCAATCACAGGTGATCACTTAAGTAACAGATTTTCTGGGTCCCATCAACTGATGCTAGTATTCTTGCTTCCTTAAAAACCCACCTAGGTCAGAAAATCCATCACAGGTTCCCATTTTCTTGAGAGGATGTCATCTATAGCCATTGATGGTACTACTCTATTGGTCAGAATTAAGTTGAAGAGAGTAGAATATACTGTAGTTTCAGCAGAAAGGAGTATATTAGTGGACATTAAATGGCTTACAGAATTATTTTGGTGGACAGATGAAGTGAATTTTAAGTGAACTTCCAGAATTAATACCTAAAGCCTCACATCACATTAGGGCTACCAGGGGAGCTACTGCTCCTGCCAAGATCAGGAAGGTGCCTGCCAAATTTAAATCATAACTAAAGCATCTGGCTCCAAAACCATTCTACCTCTGTTGCTAAAGCTTTTGGGTGAAAAATCACACCATCTTGGTTATGATCAGATAACTTCCTGCCAAATCTTCAAGTTTCAGAAGCGTCTGCCAAAATTTGTACCGGCAAAATGCATGTCCACATTCCATCCTTCTCTCTACTCAGTTCTGATGTCAAGTCTTTTGTGATTTGTACATATCTGATTGGAGGAACCTCCATCAGATCTGAACCCCTATTTGCAAGGCAGGCTGGGTAAAGTAGTTTTCAGTTATTCAATATCTTCTGTACAGAAAGACATACTAGAAGGAAGTTAGGCATTTCTATTCCTCTGCTTGGAATGCTTGTCCCCCCAAGTACTTGCACGCTTCTCTCTTGTCCCTCCATTAGTTCTTTGTTCAGCTGTCACTTTTAGAGTACAGCTTCTCCTAACTTTATCTTGTGGTAGATTACAAGTCTTTCCCTCATTTAGCCCTATCTTCCTTTTCTTTTTTATTTTTCTTCATGTTTTACTCTCCCACTGGAATAGCTAAATGTGGGCAGGAATTTGGTTTATTTTGTCAACAGCTGGGACCCCACCAACTAAGCAAATAAATATTCATTAAATGAATAAATGAACGGTGAGCCAGCAAATTCACTAGATCCATTGCGGGTATCTTTGGTCATGTGGAATGTTTCTGTTTGGTGTAGTGAAATTTATCATATTTTTCCTTTATGGATTATGCTTTTGGTATCTTGCTTAAGAAGTCCTATCCTCCTCCGTGATTTTATTCTAAGAGTTTTAAACTCCTGCTTTTTAGGGTTAGGTTTTATGTATGGTATTAAGTGGGGCTCTAATTTTATTATTTTCCCAGTTGTCATATAATTTATTAAATAGTCCATTTCCCCCTCTGAATTATAATCTCCTCTCTGTACCAAGTTGCCATATACGTATGTTTCTGATTCTGGGCTTGCTTTGCATGGGGTCTATTTCTGTATTCTTATTCTATTATTTCACCACCTGCTTTCTTTGCTCCACTCTGACAATCTCTGTGTTTTAATTAGTTATTATTAACATTTAAAGTTATTATTAATACAATTGGATTAATATCTATCATATTTGTTACTGTTTTCTATTTGCTGCCCTTGTTCTTTGTTCCTATTTTTGTCTTCCACACTTTTTCTGTCTTTGGTGGTATTGAGCATTTCCTTTGATTCCATTTTGTCTCCTGTCTTAGCATATCAATTATGCTTTTTTTCTTTACTTTTTTTGGTGGTTTTCCTAAAGTTTGCAATATACAACTAATCTAAACCCACTTTCAATTAACACTGCACTGCTTCATGGGTAATGTGAGTACCTTATAACGAAATATTCCTAACTCTTTCCTCCCATCCCTTGTATCATTGCTGTCTTTTATTTCACTTATACATATGCTTATATATATGTATACAGACACACATACACACATAAGTCTACATAATCAAATACACTGTTGGTATTATTACTTTGAACAAATTGTTATCTGTTAGATCAATTAAGAATAAGAAAAGATAAAAGTTTTTATTTTACCTTCACTTATTCATTCTCCAATGAATTGCTTTATGTAGATCCAAGTTTCTGACCTATACTATTTTCCTTCTCTCTGAAGAACTTCTCTTAACAATTCTTACAAGGCAGGTCTACTGGCAACGAATTCCCTTAATTATTACTTATCTAAGAAAGTCTTTATTTCTCCTTCACTTTTGAAGAATAATTTTGCAGTACACAGAATTCTAGGTTGGTGTTTTTTTCTCTCAATGCTTTAAATACTTCGCTTTACTCTTGTTCTGCTTGCATGGTTTCTGAGGAGAAATGTATGTAATCGAATGTATGCACAAACAATGTAATTCTTATCTTTATTCCTCTATAGATAAGGTTTTTTTTCCTCTTTCTTCTTTCAAGATTTTTGCTGTATCTTTGATTTTCTCAAGTTTGAATACTATATACCTAGGTGCAGTTTTTAAAAATTTATCTTGCTTAGTGTTCTCTGAGCTTCCTGGGATCTGTAGTTTGGTGTCAGAGGTTAATTTGGGGGAAGTTCTCAGTCATTATTGCTTCAAATATTGCTTCTGGTGCTTTCACTCTTCTCCATCTGGTATTCCCATTACATGCATGTTACACGTTTTGTAGTTGTCGCACAGTTCTTGAATATTCTGTTCTGTTTTTTTCAGTGATTTTTCTCTGAAGTTTGGGAAGTTTCTATTGTTATATCCTCAGGCTCAGAGATTCTTTCCTTAGCTGTGTCTAGTCTACAGATGAGTCCAACAAAGGGATTCTTCATTTCTGTTAGAGTTTCTGATCTCTAGCATTTCTTTTTGATTCTTTCTTAGAATTTTCATCTCTCTGCTTACATTCTTCATCTGTTCTTGCATGTTGTCTACTTTTTCCATTAAAGCCTTACCATATTAATCACAGAATTTTTAAGTTCCTGGTCTGATAATTCCAACATTCCTGCCATATCTGACTCTGGTTCTGATGACTGTTCAGTTTCTCCAAAGTATGATTTTTGCCTTTTAGGATGCCTTGCAATTTTTCATTGAAAGCTAGACATGATATACTAGGTAAAAGGAACTGTAGTAATTAGGCCTTTGGAAATGCAGTGGTAAGATATGGAGGGAAGTGAAGTGTTCTATAGTCCTGTGATTAGGTCTCAGTCTTTGGTGAGCCTGTGTCCCTCAATAGTGAATAGTGCTGCTCAGTCTCTCCCCTTCGCACTCCCCCTAAGGTGGGACAGGATAGCTAGAGGGAGCTAGACCTGGGTATTTCCCTTCCCCTAATTAGGTTAGGATCTGATAAAACCTCAGCAGGTTAGGTCTTGGTAAAATAGTTTCTTCTGAGGGCAGGCTTTATTAAGACCATAATGCTCTGGTATACTTCAAAATCATTACTTTTCTCCTCCCCCTGCCAGAAACATGAACAGTATTATTCACTGTGAGGACCTGGTAGGGGTCCTGGAAGTAAAACTCACCAAAGCATGGGGATCCCTTATGATTTTATCCTCCTGGATTTCTAACTCTCAAGTCTTAGCCACACTAAGCCTCTAGCAATTTGTCAATTACAGTTCAGGTTTCCCTACCCCAGCACTGGTTCTTGTGGAGATTTCTGCTCCAGTAAGCTGTGATTCTCTATGTCCATCTGTCTGTCTCTCCAATTTTGGGGGAAGTGGTTTGCCCTGTGACCTCACTGCTCTGATGGATCTAAGAGTTGTTGATTTTTCAGTTTGTTCAGCTTTTTACTTGTTACCAGGACAGAGTGCCAACTTCTAAGCTCCTCATAAGCTAGACCAGAAACATTCCTGTTTTTTAAACTTATTGTTATTTGTGAAAATATTAAAGATTAGTTATACTTTCCTCTATTTCCTGGGTTAAGTTACATGATATAAAATATTTGCTTATTTGAGGATTTAAGAAGGTGACTGGGAGAATCTTTTATGTGTACATCAAGGGTCTATTGTACGATTTCCTGCACAAAAATGCATTCATAAACAATGCACTTTTGTAGGAGCTATACCCAGTGCCCAAAACAGTGTATATCACACAGTAGGTATTTAATAAATATTTGTGGCATAATCAATGAATGAATCAAAGATTTCCTTAGGAATCCCTAAATTCTTTCTGGTATTACCAGACCACTCCCCAACTTTCTAATGGACTCAGTTTTTCCTGAGAAAGATACAAGCCAGGAAGTGTTTTAACTTTTCATATTCTTGCTAGTTGTTAATATACTTGCTTTCTCTCAATCTGAACTCTGAAAATGTTTCTCTTGACATTCAGTTTGAAAGTAAAAAATTCAGGAACTCACAAATCTTTATATAGGAGTTGCTCTATGCAGTAACTACTTTAAATCTTTGAAACAAACAGGAACAAAAATTGTCAAACTAACAAACATAAAATGGAGCAGAAAACTTAAATGTGGGTAGCTTATTTGCTTCATAACCAAGAGTTAATGTACATTATTTAGTTGTAGATTATCCTTGGCATATATTTAATCACAGGCTGGCTTTCTCTTGCTATCCAGGAATCTCTGAAAAAAGCTTTTCCATTGCTTTTTTCCCTTCTTTACCCAACCTAAGAGTACAAACAGAAAAGCAATACTTATTTTAATTTTAACCTAAACTTTAAGAGATGATACATTTTTGAACAAAAGAAAATTTAACATAAAATATATATTCATGACCCAATAACATTTAATTGATTTTGAATTATGCAGCAACTGTGTTCTACTAAAGTGGCCAGTAGTTAATTACTATTTGTGTTAGATTGTTATCCCCCTGCCCCTCAGCTTAACTATTTCTTACTTGGCTCTGCTTCCAGAGCAGTAGACTAAGAAAATTATAAATTCTAAAAAAGGGTGATCACAGGGTGAAGGAGATCTCAAAATTGTGTCATATTAGGAGTGACCAAAAAAGAAGGAAAGAGGAAGACTAGAGTCATTGGATGGATAGCAACTAGACGAAGGCAGATTTCTTCTCAATATCTGTCTCAGGATCCTTAGCATAGTCCACAAGGCCCTGAATGATCTGGCTTCTGCTAACTTCTCCACCTTCATCTCGCAAACACTATTCCACTCACTTTCTGTGTTTCAGCCCTTTTGACACAATTTGATATCTCTCTTTTCAAGACTTTTGCATATATAGTCCTTTGGCCAGGAATATTCTCTATTTTTTTTTTTTTTTTTTTTTTGCCTAAGTAGTTCCTACTATAGACCTCAGTTCAAATATTACTTCCTCAGGAAAACTCCATCCCGCAAACAAAACAAGAGTCCCGAGGCCAGGTTTCCCTTGTAGCAGTTATTTCATTTGCATGTCTCTCACACTAGACGATAGGTTTGAAGGTATAAGGGACCATGTTTGTGTTGCTCACCATTTTCTTGCCTAACACAGCGCCTGGTACATTGTAGGTAGGCAACAAATACTAGGTGAATGAATGAAAATATATTCTTATGTTGGCTAACTTGTCCATTTTCAACTCAAACACCAACGTAAAAAAAAAAAAACAGCAACAACAAAATAAAAACAGGTAGGTGACAAAAATGAGGGAATACTGAGCATAACATAATAGGAATTTTTGGAAACTGCGAGGAATTGAAGAGAGCATATCTTGTGTAAAGGCATTCAAAATTGAAACAACTTTGAAATGCTATGATGAAAAACTATAGCATGTCCATATACCAGTTTTGGTTATAGGCTGCCAGTTTACAATGTTTGTCTTAAATAAATTGATATATCCCTTATCTATTTAATATGAGTGATATTATCAAGGACATTTAATTTAAGGACGAAAATATGCTCACATATATTATTTTTTCCTTTAAAAAGCATACTATAAAGCAGCAGCAGACGTCTCATTTTATTTAAAAATACACATAGAGTCCCAAAGTCTAGCATAGACTCTGGCACAAAGTAGGCACTCAAGACATTTATTTACTGCTTTAAAGCAAAATACAAATTGGCTGAATTAATTTATTGAGAACCGTGCTGGTCAGTCTAAAACGAAAAGAAAGCATCCAGTGTTACTTAGGTCTATTGGGAGAAGAAAAGCTTGATGGTTTGTACAATTAAATGTGGGGAAAAAAAAACAATGAAAAAGTAAAACAATTCCAGAAAAAGAATAAACCTGCTGCCAACTTGGCAAAGTGAACTACAGGAAGCTAGAAATACTTGTTTCCTTTCCCACTTCTCCAATAGTTTCCAAACTTCTTTTTATAAAATATAAAACTTCCTTTTATAAAATAATGTAATTGTGATTTTGCTTATTAAAGATGGAAACTAGAGAAAAAAATACACATAGAAAACACTGAGGGGCTGGCTCCGTGGCCGAGTGGTTAAGTTCCTGTAATCCACTGCAGCAGCCCAGGGTTTGGATCCGGGGCGCAGACATGGCACCGCTCGTCAGGCCATGTTGAGGCAGCGCCCCACATACCACAACTAGAAGGACCTGCAGCTAAGATATACAACTGTGTACAGGGGAGCCTTGGGGAGATAAAGCAGAAAAAAAAAAAAAAAAAAGATTGGCAACAGTTGTTAGCCCAGATGCTAATCCTTAAAAAAAAAAAAAAAAGAAAACACTGAAAAGGTTTGCTCTAAAATGCATCAGTGGCTATCTCTAGCTGATGGAATTATGTTCCTCTTTGTGTGCTTTTCTATATTTTCTTAGTGTTCTACAATGAATATGTATTGTTTTTGTATTCCAAAATAAATTGTTTTTACAAGGTAGAGAAGTAACTCAGGTGGCAATGTGGTGGAAAAATGGAGTACAGTAGAATCAGGGGCATGAAAACTAATAGACTATTCCAATGGTATGGATGAAGGATGGTACAAGCCAAATTAAGGCAGTGGCGGCAAGGACAAAGAAAGTAATTAGGGCCGGCCCGGTGCTGCAGCGGTTAAGTGCACACGTTCTGCTTTGGTGGCCTGGGGTTTGCGGGTTTGGATCCCAGGTGTGGACATGGCACCACTTGGCAAGCCATGCTATGGTAGGCGTCCCACATACAAAGTAGAGGAAGATGGGCACAGATGTTAGCTCAGGGCCAGCCTTCCTCAGCAAAAAAAAAGGGCAGGATTGGCAGCAGATGTTAGCTCAGGGCTAATCTTCCTCAGGGGAAAAAAAAAGTAATTAGATACAAGGACATAGAACGAACAGGGTTTGGTAATCTTGGATGTTTAGGCTGAAGACACAGTTAAGGGAACATTAGCTTAAACATGGTAATTCCATTGGTACCCTGGATCTATATGGGTTGGAGATAAGGGTTATGAATTCATTAGACTTAAACATGGTAACTGAAATTGTGAAACTAAATGAGATTCCTTAGGGAGAGTACATAAAATAGAAATAGGGCAATGGCCTGAATCATGGGGAACTCTTAATACTTAAGAGCCAGATAGAAGAAAGGCCTATAAATACTAAGTAGGATTGATTAGATAGATAAAGCAACTAGGAAGCTATCACGGAAACTAAAAACAGTGGGTTTCAAGCAGGAATTGCTCAAGGATGCTAGGAGAGAAAACATCTTGCTTGCTTCTGATGTTTGCTTCCTGTGAAAGGACCTCAACAGTTCCAGGTCTTTCTCTATGCTTAGGGAGATTGAGTGATTTATATGATTAGTAAATTTGTGAGGAATGTTTGACTTAGCTTTGTCTGCCAACCTCCAAGAGGAGGTTGTCCAGAGGCCGAATTCTCATTTGATCCTCTATGCTGTCCTTGTCAAGCATTGCTAGGAACTGGAGGTATACAGCTCCTAATTCTGGGGATCAGTTGCCAAGTCTATTTGGTTTTCACACCAAGTAACATCAACCAACTGTTTTATCAGTGATAAAGTGATATTTTGGCCCCTATTTCTATCCTTTATTTCTCATATTGCTCAGGCTGGGCAAGAGGGAAACTGTTTTATTGGGGCCCCCTTGGAAACTGCAACAATTGATGCCTAATTCCACAAGGGTCAGGTAAGGTAGGGGCTGAAAAGAGGCTAGACTTTGGCGACTGGGAAGTAATCTTAAATCACTATCTTCCTTAATAAAGTCAAACACAGTTTCTCCAAGGAAGGCAACTGAAGGAATGTCTCCATGGTGGTGTTGGTGGGACAACTGTAACTACTGCTTCAGTCTTTGTTCTGTAAGATTCTCTAAAAATGTGACTATGCCACCCAGACATATTAGTCAGGACTACTGTAGTTGCAAAAGAATAAAATTTACCTTAAAATAGCTTAAATGAGGGTGGCAGGGGTTGGTGGGAGAAAAGGTAGAACTTAGTGGCCACTTAATTATGAAAGACAATGGGTGATTATATGATCCCGGATTTCAAATGATATCATCTGGACTCTACTTTCTATTGCTCGTATTTGTCTTCTTCTGGTTTCGTTACATAGTAAGATAGTCTTGCTCCATGGTGGGTCAAAGATGGTCAGCAGCAGCTCTGGCCTCAGTAAAATTTTTCCTAGATGACTAGAAAGATTGGCTTGGCTCACGTCCTATCTTTACGGCAGGGGGAAAAAAAGAGTCACATCATTGAAAGCTTTATCAGGTAGACGAAAGGTATTTCCTGAAAAGATGGACAGGCAAAAAGCAATTGTTGTCTACTGCACTCCACCCCTTGGCTACCCAGCATCTATAATTGTGCTTCTTTCACTACATACAATTTTAAAAATGCCCTAGCTTAAGATAATGTAATTAGGTTGCCCATGGGCAACTGAAATACTCCCCTCCCCAATAGTACGCATGCCAAAGTCTTATCTAATTATTGATTCTTGCATGAAAACCAAGAGTTCTGGATGAGGTGCTTTTCATTTGGCCAGATCTGGATGCAGCTCTTCATGGTACAGCATAATAAAGATAATTTTATTAGATATTGGTATATACTTAATAAGGAGAATAAGTGATTAAGGGTACCCTAATTAGCTAGTAGATGAACTTCTTGGTCAGTTAATACAGTGGTCTTGAGTTTGTTCCTTGGAAGACACTTCCTTATCCCTTGCTACACATGAGGGTATTGGAATTAAGCAATTGTAGGCCTTTGTTTGCAGGGCTTGGTGTTATTGTCAATACAATTCTCTTAGGATCTTAGTTGGCTGTTGGTCACTTTGCTTTTGGTAACTCTGTGGTTTAGAAACCAAAAACAGAGATGGTGTGTAAATCTGTTTTCTGTCCCTTACCAGTGGGTTGCAAGACTGGCATGCAATGTCTACCCTCCAGCCAACTAAACTTAATTACATATTTCTATAATACCTATCCTCCAGCCAACTAAACTAAGTATTTCTATTTTGGCCTTTGCATCCAAAATTATAAGCTGAGGCAGGAGCTTAGGAAGAATGCAGCTAGGTTTTATGTCTGTCCCCTTGCCCCCATGTTGCAGCTCAGCGAATGGCTCCTTGCAATAGGACTAATTTGTCAAGCTCTGTCAGACAGGATATATACAGCAAGAGATGCATGAGGTGATCAAGGATACTGTGTTTTCAACTTCCTGCCTTTGTCTGCACTAACTTAAGCTCAGAAAAGAAAATGTGGGTTTCCCAAACCTGCAAGATGCAGGTTCATTTTGATTCTCAGCTACATGGTTTACTGACTACATGCAGA